GCGATTCTCCCTATCCGAACGTGCAGTTTCTCTCCTCTCCCTTACCATTTCCTACATCTAGAAATACTATGTTAGGAGAGTTGCTTGCAACATCAGACTGTACTAAATTCTCTAATCTAAGTCTCATATAACCCTATGTCTCGTATCAAGGGATGTTTCTAGAACTGTGCAATAATATCACCTGTCATGGCCACTCATCTCTTATAGGGCGTGTCTAGAGCACACTATATTTTACACTTAATTAAATAAAACATAAAAAAAACTTTTATTTGTATAAAAGTGCAGAAGCATTACATCCATTGATATATGTACATCATATGCATAAAATATTAGACTCTAAATTTTTTTTTCTTACATTATAAAGCAAAAGTACAAAATAGTAACTTGATTTTTTATAGAGCCTAACTTGCAAAAAACTTCTTTGCTATTACCGCTTACTCCTCAGCAATCTCTGCACGATCTGAAAATAATGAGGGAGTGAGTACACTAATCCCAATAAACAAATATTATTATACACAGTGTATACATGTAATATATATAGCTTTTGCACACATCAAATATATATCTATATATTTGCAAATTACAATAATTGAGTCAAAAAACAAATAATTAAATCATAAAGTTTCATTNNCTTAACACTTTTCCATACACTCGAAAATAGAACGATTATGTATGGGACACATAGAAGCCTAACATCATGCAGGCGCTTTTGGAATGGCTTTACATCGATAACGACCAATGCACACTGATTAAAATTACTTTCCAAAACACATAGGTAAAATAACACTTAAAACACAATAACACTTTCACAAAACACTTGTACTTTATATACGAAAGTACGTATAAAACATTGATGAAAACTCTTAAAAACTATGTATGTTATACAATCACAATATCCCCAGACCTTGGGTCCTATACAAACCTTGATTTGGGAAAAGTCCCATTTTACACAAACTCTAATCTCTCTGCTCAATCCGGAAGAGTTTTTCCCTATAAAACCTTTAAATTTCTCTGTTGATGCAGGCAGAATCTCCCCTTATAAAAAATTTGATTTTCTGTTTTTAAACGGACAGAGTCTCCTTTTAGTTTATCACAATTTTCCATCGAAGTTTTGGCAGAGTTCTGGGATGTTTTTGAGTAATATCTATCGTCCAAAATATCCATCATGTTACTAAAAAATTACCCTCAAAGTTTCATGAAAAACTGAATTAAAATGAGAGAGATATGCTTACCTAAAACCCACGGGTTACCCTTGAGAGCTTACTCCTCTCCTTTTTTCCCTTCTTTCTCTCTTCTCTTCCTCAATATGCTTCTCTGCCTTCCCATCATCCCCTATTTATGAGAGAGGGGAGCCAAGGTGTAATGACCCAAATTTTCTCTAGACGAATCTCTCGTGTGTTGTATGGCTATTTAAGTGAAAGACTAATTTTTATGGTTAAATATTAAGTTTTAAGTCAATCAGAGTGAAAACGATTAGATTCGGATAACTAAAATTCCTTAAGAAGAGTTTTTCCCTCACAAAGAAAAACTAAGTTTTTAGGCTTGAGAATGCTTCTCGAGGCTAGAAAAACCCCATAGAAGGTAAGAAAAATTCTTTAGAAAAGTGAGAAAATAGTTGGATGAAGAATCAGAAGAAAATCTCTCAAGTGATAGATAAAATCCCCTAAGGAGCTCTTTTTAATCATTTTAGCTTGATTTGTGTCTCAAGACTAAAATACTTGGAATTTGATACTTAAATTTGGCTGATGACAATCCAAGATATTAAGGAAGAAGTGTGCAAAAAAATAAAAATGTTCGTAGAAGAAAATTTGGGAGAAATGAGGTCAAATCCAAAAGGCATGCACATGGAAGACAATTTTGACCTTTGGGGATTGTTTGGGCCATAAGTGGGCCAAATAGATTTGGATGAAATCCAAACCAAAACCATGTGATAACTGTTTGCTTGAGGAACACATGAATCATAAGTTGGCCCAACAAGATTAAAGATCGAGCAAGTTATAGAGTTTTGAAGTAAAGGTATGGGCATGGGCCTAGCTTTGTGCGCACTTTGTACCTGTTGTGCTTTAGGTGGACATTAAATGGGCCATTTGTGGTCGTTTTGAGCCTAAATTTGATTAGTAAGCAGCTGAACCACAACGAGCAAGCGAAATTGAAATGGGCCAGAAAATCATAAGAATCAAGGGGAGTCATGGTTGTTTGAAGTAAAGGCATATGCATGGAGTGCAGTTTTGGGCCTTATGGGTTTAGGTCAGCCTAAGGCAGCCCAAAACATATCGAATGGAGCCAAAATTTGGTATGGAAGCTCCTGGAAGATGGATAAGATGTGAGATTAGAATACTCTAAAATTACTTAAAGGCTAAGGAAAGTGAGAGATTAGGATAAGGATGAAGCTTGAGGATGTTTAAGTGGCCAATCACGTTTTGCCACCTCTCCCGTGCTTATCAACTTGTATGGATGTCGCTCCCCCATAAATAAGATGTGGGAAGAAGGAAAAAGCATTCTAGAGTTGAGAGAAAGCAAGGTTAAAGAGAGAAAGAGAAGAGGAAAAAAGAGAGGAAAATGGAAGAAACCAAATAAAAGTGAGGGAAATTGATGGAATTTGGGGGTTTTTCCTTGAGAAACCTTTACCCAAATTGTGAGAGGAAGAGAGAGGAAGGAAGAAGGAAATGAGAAAAATGAAGAAACAAAAGAAAAGGAGAGCAAAATCTCACAGCCAACCAAGGGAGAACCCACGGGCTTTAAGTGTGTTTTCTCTTTCATTTTAATTTCATTTCTCTTGAAACTTTAAGGATGATTTTTAAGTTATATGAGTAGTATTTCTGATATTAGAAAAAGCTTAGAAATTAAGTTGAGATTCTGTCGGAGTTAAAGCAACATGTTCTACAAGGTATGTAGCTTCAAGTTTCTTTTCAAGAAAATTAATTTACTTATCATGAAGATATTTTTTAGTGTAATATAAAGATAATTATAAAGAAAGATGCTGCCGAAATTTCGGTATAAAAATATAAGGGGAGATTCTGCTCGAGTGAAAAGAGAAAATTAAAGCATATCTTCACATCTTATAAGTTTGTATCATATTTAACTCAAGAATCATTTCATGAACATTAATATCTCAACAACATTAGAAAGAAATCTTGTATAATTCAAGATAGGTAATCATATCTACATTAATTAGTATTATTTTCTTAATTTTGTAGCTTATTCTTTTCCTAGAAAAGCAATTGCAATTAATTAGGAGATTTTCTTTCCTTATATTTCATTTAGCCTTCAACTATAAGTCAGCCTCATAAATTGTATTCAAGATTCAAGTTTGAAGTCAATAAAATTTAAAAGTTTTTAACTTTTCAACTAATGAGATTTTCTTCAACATTTTTATTGAGTGAAGAATTGGTGTCTACTTATTAAAGTAATTTGTGGTATTTTCATTAATATTTTTTTTGAATTGATTTTAACTTATCAAATTTTTTTTTTGTGGTATTTAAATCAATTCATTTATCTCTATTACCTTAATTCCAATCATCAGTTGATTGTGGGTTAAATATGGAGAATTTATCCAGGGATTAAGTTTTTGGTGCTAATTGAATTTGAGTTTTCGATCACATTTTTTATCATGGGTTCTGCATCAATAAATCTTGTAAATCATACCAAACTACTTTAATCATGTTTTTTAGGTTATTACAAGAATGGTGATAGTGACACTTGTAAGTGGTAAGATGTTGAAGCAAAAGATGTTGACGAATAGGGAAGTGGAGGAGAGATAGCCACCACAATTAGATTTTTCAATTTCTTGAATTTTTTAAAGATCAAGCTTATTAGTAAAAAAACTACAAAATTTTTTAAAAGGCTACAAAATATAAAAGTGGAATACATTATTTAATAAGTAAAATTTAAAATAAGAATTTATTATGAGTATCAAATATATGATATCTTAGTTATGAGCTACAATGATTTAGTTAATTTGATTTGTAGTTTTAGGTTAAAAGATTCCCGGAACATTTGGTTTTTAGTTTTAACATTTGAAATTTTATCTATTTGAAAATTTGGTCAAACGTGATTAATGATTAAAAGTTTGCTAAATTGCAATCAATTGTAAGCTAAGAAGGTTGAATCAAAAATAGTTGAAGAAAAATATTTAAAATGGAATAAAATCTAAAAAAGAAAGACAACTTGTTTGGAATACGGTTTTAAAACATTTTATTTTTCATAATTTTTATATGCTTTTTAGATAGAAATTGATTGTGCCAACCGCTTAATACTGCATTTGTTATTGCAAATTCGTTCATTCTAGCAATTCGTTCAAAGACTTTAATCACCGGGATTTATTGAGCTAATGTTTATATATTACAATTTTTGAAAGGCTCTACTTCTAACAGTTAAATCACTGAACTTAAATTTACTGTAACAATATTTTTTTATGATCTGTCAATTTACTTGATTGATTTCATGTGACATTAAAGTTAATGATTAAAATGTTAACAAAGTTGAGAGGATGCTCTCAGAAAAAAAAAGGTAAATTACATAAACATAATTTAGATATTGGTATCCTATAAAAAATGAATTTCTTTTAAAATAATATTAAAATTACAATCTAAAATTATAATGTTAAAATTTGTGGTCATAATGAGACTTCAACCTTTGTTAATGAATGAAGAAAGCTTTCTTAGTCTAAGCAGAATATGAAGCTACCAAAGGATACGTCTTGAGTACGTGAAGGAGAAATGCCATAGCAGAAGGAAATAAATACGCAGAGGAGAAAAGAGTTTTTTGTTTGAAGGAAAATAAAATTGCTATATTTTAGACAAAATTTAACTCAACAGTACAACTCTCCAGTTATATTGTAGAATATCTTTCCAACGAAAATAATTTTTTTGGGTTCAAATTCTTTGGGTAACTTCTGCTGGGTACTATTACAGTTTATGGATTAATGAAAATCTTCTTGGAACGAAAATAAATAACAGACAAAATACACATTTAACTGGAGAAAAAATGTTCCTTTAAATTTTAAGAATGCCTAATATTAAAATTTTTCCATTACAAATGAAAATTACCATCGTATAAAGAATTTTACCCCAAAAATGAAGCCAATCCAATACGTTTGTCGAACCACTCGCATCCCACACCCCCTCCCCCCGCTAAAGATACAACAAACATTCTGACCTCCACCATGGTAAATACAAAATACTCTCCCGTGAAAAAAATTGGAGAACAATGATCCATATACATCAATGGAACCAAGGAAAAACCAACACAATACATTCACTTTAAACTGATGGTAGTGGTCTGAGGCCTAAACAAAATAGCCCACGGTTCCTCACCTTCCAATTATGATACAAGTGATATACGCAAGTCCAGTGGCTTAAGAGCTCCCTGAACAATTTCTTGAACAGTTCTGTTGCGGCGACATACATCGGACAACTCTTCAACCGGAGCCATTAGAGTCTTCACATCAGCTCCATATGCTGCATCCGACAAGGCATGTAAGAACTTTGACCGCTCCGTCTCTGTCACTGCAGTCAATGGGATTAGTGTAACACTCCCTTTAGCCCACTCCAGAGCTTGCATTCCATATGCTCGAGTAAGAGCCAGCAGTGTGTAAGTTACCTGGAATAAAAAAGAAAATCTTCATGAATATCAGAAAGGAATAACTATGGAAAAATCACTAAAAGTTGAACAAAATACTAAGCGCCACCGTTTCTAATCGAGAACTTGGGAGTGCTCCAGTCAATGAGGCAATCAACAACCTCGTAATGGTAGGGCCTCGAGGAATTATCACATCATCTCTTATCAACAAAAATTGTTTTTCGTTGACTGACTTTGCCAGATCAAAAATATCAGATAAGAAAGTCAAAATGGAGTTGCAGGCTTCTCTGCATAAAGATTCCATGTCAATAATTAGGCCCCTTAGAACAAAGCACTTAGGGACTCAACCAGAATGACCATATCCATTCATATAAGAGAGAGTAAGCTAAACCTGTGAAGCACCGTGATCCCAGTCAAGGAGCAATCCACTAACAACGGAAATATAGGAGAAGGAATAAATAGTTGAGGACAATAGCGAATGCATCTTGATGCCAACAAAAAGCAATCATCTGCTATGTCTGGTCTTGCAGTAAATTCCTGTGTAATTCATACAGAAACGGGGAAACACCAATGAGTCTCAAGAATCCGAAGAAAAGTACTCACTGAATCGTTTCTTAATATACTACTCAAAAAAGTGCTACTCACTGAACTCATACCTTAATACTCGTGAGAAGACATGTCGTGTGTGTAAAAAGTGCTTCAATCAAACTCTTCAGATAGTTCGCACAAGATGGATCGGAGCCAAATATCTACAGCCCCAGAACAGAATGTGTTAATTGCTCAAATTTAAGACTTAAAACAAGTAGAGTTGCTCTTGTTAAGAAGACCAAAGCAATACCTTTATCACCTCACTGGAAAGATAAAGAAAGCAAGGCTGATGATGCTGTTGATATAGAACCTGAATCTTCCCCAGCATTTCTCCAATTATGTTAACTATGTATCTTCCAGAAGTTCTCACCTAAAGAAAACATTCAGCTCATCTTATGGCCTAGTAAACTTGAATAAAATATGTCCTTAACCCTATACAGAAAATCATTTGCATAAATATGTAACTCAGTGGTTGAAAAAGTTAACGGTTTAATCTCCAAAAATAATCCAGCTAGCATAGTAAACTGTACTAATAACAACTGGACTAGAAATATTAAAATCAGCTATCATACAAGATATTTGGTAATGTCTGCTAAAGATTAAGTTTGATACAAAATTCAATTCTCAGAAATAAAAATATGAGGGCAATGCAAATAGTATAAATTTTGACTAAAAGCAGTATTCTGATTTAACCAATTCTTTATCTTGTTCAAGTTGGCTTTTTGTGTTTTTGGTAATTTCTCCATTGACAAGAGTGAATAGAAATCCATCATTGTAGAATTAGTAAATATTCATCAAATTCTACAATTTAGATGCCTAACATTAGAAAGATAATAGAATAAACTTAAACAAACTATTTTATAATTTCAGGAAAACCTGGCTCTTATCGGCAACCTCAAATAAATGCAAAAACCAACTTCATGCAAATGCAGAAACAAGGTAATAAGAGTTGGATCTGGCATAGTTGTAAGGTTCTGTCAACAATTGTCAAGCATCGATATTTGGAGGGTGTTTAGGAATCTCTTTTAAGTTTTTAGAAGCATCGCCAATCCAATCTTCCTTTTTGGTAAAAGAAAGCAAGGGCTTATAAACACCTGCTTATTAGGTTTGTTTGAAGCTAAAAAAAACATGTGCCACGAATTCTGGCTTCTGCATATAAATAATGAGCTTACTTTCTTCAGTGACCAGGAAATTATAGGTCAAGTGGATACCAGGTATACAATTTCGAGAGTGTTTGAGATAACTTTTTTTGGGGAAAAATGAGTTTGCAAGCTCTTTAAAAAATGTTGTTATTCACCAGGCAATTGTCTTTAATGTCATTTGCAAATGGCTGAAACATAATTATATCATTTCAACAAAACTAACATCTTATGAGTTATATTTTGTCAAAATCACATAAAGCAACTGATATAGATTACCTAAAAACTTCAATAACTTAATTTTAAAAAAACTTTTAACAACTTATAAGCTATTGAATAGAACTCAAAAGTTCCTATACTTTTAAGTTAAGTCAAACAACCTCTAAGCATTTTAGTAGGTACTAAGGTCCCTACAGGTTACGCCTACTTGTTCAACACTATATTTCGATTCTGCCCTTCTAAAAGGAACATCGGCTCTAATAATTCCATCTCCGTCTACCAAAACAACCGGAAATGTTTCCTACAGATGAATCTAATTATGAGATGATTATCACGAAAATCAGCAGAAATTTTTAATTGTTCTTTGAGTTTTCCTACCTTAATCTATGTTAAAGTAAATTAGGGCCCATTAAGAGAGAATCGACCACTCTCGAGTAAATAAGGACTCAATACCTTTCATAATTTCATTCATAGTTTAGTTCGTTAGAAATGGGAATTTATACAGCATAAGTCAAATAAACAGCTTCTGTTGTTGGTAGAAAACAGTTACTGCCAGAACTGTCCAGAACTTGCGAAAACTTCCTATAAAAACTATTACACTGCTTATGAATAACTTCAACAACTGCCTAATCTTATCTTCCTAGACTTGGTCAACATTGACAACTAGTTGACAGAATTTATTCCCGTATACAAGTATCCCTAAATACCTAA